CTGAAACATATATTAAAACACAAACAAAATCAACTAACAATGATTTACTTGCAGCTGTGAATCTGCAGATGAGGGTAAATTAGGATGACGTGCGGTGCCAAAAACTGTGCTAAACTGCACAATGCCGCTAAGCAGGACTATGAGCGGCAGTGCAGCTCAGTGGGTTCCTGTCAGCTCTGTCCCACCAAAGTCACTGTGGAAGTAATGTTTGCACACAGGCTCCACCAAATGACATATGTTATGTTGCGCCTCATGTGGTGCAGCTCGGGCACTGGCACTGCTTCACAGATATTTTTGTCACACATGCAGATCATATGATTAGAAAGCACGGTGAATACGCTTTGAAAACTAATGTGCTCTGCAGAACAGGCTGGTCGTATATGTGGGCGACATATTTATAAAAGGAAAACACACCTCTGGACCGCTACAGCAGGAATGGACACAATTCAGCACCGCATGTTCCCTCATTTGGTGTTTTGATGAAGGCACTGGACCCACATATTCCTGAGTTGTTTAATTAGGTCAAGTTCTGGTGACTGTCCATCAGACATAATTTTCATACTGGTTAAACCATTCACTGACTGCCTCATGCCCTGTGGATGGGAGGGATTGTCATCCCAGAAGCTTCCATGTTGAATGTTGGTGTGTAACAGTGGAAATTCGTTCTTTTGGGGGGTTTGTCAAAAGTGTTGTTGTTGTGTATATACTCAAGAAATCAGCTGTTATAGGTGCAACATTTGAGTAATGAAGCACATCTCTGTTCTACATTTTACCACCTGTGGCCATGGTTTCACAAGGTGAAAGAGACAAGTGCATGCTGGGACCTTGTTTGTTGTGGTTTGTGCAGTGGCTGTGCAACAAAACTCATGAAGGCTGGACTCAGAATAAATAGAAACATAGGTTCTCGCTTGCATTCCCCAAAACATTATGGCAAATGAAGTTGTAGAACTTAGACCATTGTTATTATACCCCAAACAGAAATAAGACTTTGAATTGTAGTAGGAGCGATAAAATCCATTAATATGAGCTGTGTAATGGGGTGGAGACCACAGGCCACAGCAGCTGTGTCTAAAATACACTAGGCAGGCACTTTTTCCTGCCCCTGCTGTAAAATATTAATCTCAGGAATGAAACGGGTCTTGTGAAAATGTAGACACTTTCTGTCTGCCATTAAAATTTACGAGGAGTTGATGAAAGGCTTGCTTTAATTTCCCCGGTGTGCTCTGTCTCCGTCAGGCCTGACAGGACTGAAGAATATAGGCAACACCTGCTACATGAACGCTGCCCTCCAGGCCCTGTCCAACTGGTGAGACCGCTGTTTATCCACCTTCTGTCCCTGCATCTACCTGTCTATCCCACTGTTCCTGCGCAGACAGCTTTTTCTTCGTCTGACTTTCCTCTCATTTCTCACACTGTTAACGCGCCTATTCAATAGCCATTTGCTGTTTTATACACCGTCTGACTACCTCTTATTGACTGTGAGAAACAACCGCGGCTGTGCTCATTTGAGAGAGTGACGGCTGAGTGAAAATTGCTGCAGTGCACCATTTGAGATGACAGAAATGGCCTTTTGGAGTTCCCTGTAGGGTCTTCTCTTACAGATGAACACCAACTCTTCTAACCCCCCCACAAGTCTTCTGTTGCTTCTCCTCATGTGTTTCTTGCTCCTTTCCCACCATTTCGTTCTTTCTTTCTTTCTTTCTTTTTTTTTCCCTCTTTCTTTTACTGTTTTTCTTCCAGTCTGCCTCATCTTTTTATTGTTTATTGAAGTGCCAATCTGTGTGATTCACTGCTCATATTTGGCTTATTTGCGGTGGTCACTTAAATTAGAGCTCTGCAACAAACCTCGAGGCTGTCTTATTGCTTTTATTTTTCATGGAACAGCAAAGCAAAGCCCTTCTTTCTTTCTAATACCATCTACCCACGGGCCAGTAAATGTTTAAATTAAATGGATGATGCTGTGTCTGGATATAAGTAAAAATGGGAAAAGATGTGGGTCAAAATTTGCAATCTAAATCACATTCCAAAAATAGGAAGAACTGACTCACGCAGCTGCAGAAGGAGGGACCTTTTCCTGAAACTTCGCTTTGATGTCTGTTTGTGTGAGTGTAGCGTTCCTCAGTTACTTTCGGGTCATTATGCAAGTCTAAGGACTTTTCTCTTGCCAAGGGAAGGGAACACTCCATGCCTTATTCATCCTGTAGTTTGTCTCTTTCGTGCAAATTCCCGTCCATTCTGTATTCGTCAAGTAAAATCCCCTCAGCTGTTTCTCTTTTCAGCCAGTCTGATGTCCTTCAACTCTCAGCTGTGTGAGGCGGTTTCTCGCATGAGACAAAACCTCTAGGAATTTGTGATATCACTCAATGACTGAAGTATGAATTTAAATGAAATGAATAAAAAATTAAGTGAAGGCAACATTATGTAGATGTGCCAGAATGAAACCTCTCTGGATCTCTGTTCTTTATAATATTTTTTAATCTTAGAGTCTAATGGAAAACACACATTTAACCTTGAGTAGTATGATAATACTAAGGTATCAAAAAAGCTTTTTACAAATGCTACATATTATAATAATGCAGTATAATTCTTTGCTCTGTTTTTCTGCCTGTGTCAAAGTTGATTGTTACATTTTTGTTTTTTCAAATTACACACTTCACTCTACTCTTCAGTAATGACAACCAATGACAAACTGTTTTGCTGAAGGACAGTATTTGGTAAAGGCTTGTTTATTCCTGCATGTGATATATTCATCCTTTTTTTTTTTTTGTCCCCCTCCTTCTGCAGCCCACCCCTGACACAGTTTTTTCTAGAATGTGGTGGCCTGGTGAGGACGGACAAGAAGCCCGCTCTCTGCAAAAGCTACCAGAAGCTGGTGTCAGATCTGTGGCACAAGAACAGGTATTTGGTTATTTACATGACTGAATGAATATTAACATGCCTCCATGCCACAGTTGGAATTCAGGGTCGCTTTCATTACCACCCCAGTCGTAAGTAAGATGTTTAGAAAATGACGCATAGAATGTATATAAAAGATGGATGCAGGTCACTTTTCAGACCTGGAAGTCCTGCATTATTTCCAGTGGCCAGCAGGGGCAACTTCTGTGAATTCAAAAAAAAGTTTGATTATAAAAGAATTTGTGCTGTCAGCGTTAGTCTCGTTACAGCACTAAAAAAAAATGTGTGGAAAAATGACCTTACTTCCCAATTGATCCATTAATTCATGGTCTCTTATAAATTTTGAGTTTTAATGAATACAAAATGATATGTGTATTGTCAATTATTCTCCTCATTTAAGTCAAAATGGACAAAAAGGCTTGGAGCACTTTTAGACAGACCTAGCTTGTGATTGACAAGTCACTGTCATATCAGCACGCAGTGTCTCTCAACTTTAGGCTCAGTTCTTTCTGGATTTTGGTATGACGGCATGCAGCCTGATGTTGATGATGATTGCTGACTGGTTGAAAAATTCACTTAAACAGGAAACGCAGTAAAATAATGGAACAAAATTAGTGTGTTGGCTGTGATAGACAGTTTGTTGTTTTTACACTCAGTTTCACTTCACTACAAAGAAGTTCTTTGCTTAATATGACTTTGGGCAACAACGTTTCTTTTATCTATTTTTACACTGCCCCCCTGGTGGCAGTACACTGCTACAACACAGTCATATTCTGCAAAATTACTCATAGGCCCAACACGAAGTCATTCAGTTGGATCCAGCCCTCTGTTGTTGTCAAAGCTGAGATGGTGACGGCAAAATTTTTTCAAACCTTAAATACTTTGCAAAACAATGGATAAAATCAAGCTGATTGTGTCCATCTTTAATATACAGTCTATCACATGAGAGCAGTTTTGCTGTTTCTAATTTCACACTCAACATTACATGTGACCCCTGCAAAAAAAAGTACTTCTTTAAATCAGGCTGTGTTTTCTCACATTGCAGACCTTCCTATGTGGTCCCAACCAACTTGTTCCAGGGGATCAAAGCCATAAACCCCATGTTTAGAGGATACGCTCAGCAGGTGGGTCATCCCAGATGATGAAATGAATGTGCAATGTTTTCATTACTGCAAAAAACAAAACAAAAAACATGGGGTCACAGTTTGAGCCTTTTTCTAGAGCCAAACAGCATATTTGAGTCTTTCATTTGTCATAAAGTCGGCAGGTGATATGATGCAAACCTTTGATGACTGTGTTGTACGAAATAATAATATCTGTCTGAAATATGATGAAAGATCATTTGCTTTTTATAATAATGTGATAGGCCTATTATTAATCTCTTTTTCTTTTTGATAATTTTATTGTTTTTTTTGTGCTGAGCTGGGGTTATTATCAGTCTGACCCCAGATTATTAAGATGCCCCAGATCTTATAGTCTCTCTTATTTCCCTTTCCCTCCGTATCACTCTATTCTTATTCCTTTACAGAAATTACATTTTTTTCCAGCTCAAAGGACTCACTCCGCTAAACCGAATCCTCTGCCTTTTCAGTCACTAACATGCACTTTCTCTCTCTCTCTCTCTCTCACTCACACACACACACACACACACACACACACACACACACACACACATCTGGTCTAAAGGTAAATTGCTTGATTTGATTCCATTTGGCACTTGAAAGCAAAGTTTTGTGCATTATAGACATAAAGGTTTTTTCAGAGAAGATAAATTGAAGCACTTTGTGTCTTTGGCTGGTGTCTGTAAATAACAGATTTATAAGCCTGAATGGTGAATTGATAAAAGAGGCCTGTTTCCTCTTGGCTGGCCACTGTTTGTTCAGAGGTTTTAGCTGAAGAGTATTCATTTGTCACGCCACGCTGGGCTGCACAGACTTGGATTAAACATCGCTCTGAATGAAGTTAACATTCCCCAGCTCCTGTGAGAGGAGAGTTCATTTGGCTTGAAGAGGGAGATTGGATGTCTGAGGTTCATTAACTTTGATTACACGTTCATGAGCATTTGGTTTCAGATGTTGTGATCAGAATTGGGATAAACACAGAGGTGAAGTGGTTGTTTTATGTAATTTGGAAGAAGATGTGCTTCACTTTGCCTGTCAAACTCAGTAATATATTGGAGGAATAAATGGTGAGTTATAAGGAGCTCTGTTTTCCACATGCTATGGTGACCAAGATAGTAGAATAAATGTCTTGCCCTGCTAATATTTTGTGTTTAACTGCACTGTAGGATTCCCAGGAGTTTCTGCGCTGCTTAATGGATCAGCTTCATGAAGAGCTGAAGGACCAGCTACCTGAGCCCTGCGACCAGTCCCACGGCATCGCAATGGACGACAGTCCCGAGGAGGACAACCATAGCCAGTCAGACAATGACTTCCAGTCATGTGAGTCCTGCGGTAGCAGCGAGAGGGCCGAAAATGAAGTGCAGGGTGGGAATGCGTTGATAGATGACACCAACGAAGCAGAGATGCTGATTCCCGAGCAAGATGAGATTCAGGCCAATAGGGAGTGGCAGAAGGAGAAGAACATGATTAATGACCTGTATCGCTCCGGGACTAATGGCATTACGGGTGGAAGCACTGGAGTGGACATCGACAAAGATGTAGATACCACTACAGAGACCACGCCTATTATCAGCAGCCAGGGAGCCATCAAGGTTCAAGGCAGAGCGTCAGGTAAACACATGAGAAATGGTGGCTCATATTTCACGGGATGACTTTTTGATATTCACAGCTAAATTTATGACCTTAAGAGTCTCTAAACCTTGGTCTTTTTTTTTTCTTGCAGATTGCTTTCCAGATATCCAAATGCCAAACACTACAAGACCACAAAGTCCAGTCCCCATGGAGGGGCACATTCCCAAAATGTCCAGCAGTCCACCCAAAGCAGCCTCTGGCTGGCCCAGTCTGAACCCGGCACACAAGAAAGGTATTAAACTTTGTTTAGTGCCAGCGAGTTCATCTCCATTATGAGAGGGAGTCGTACCCAGAATAAGAACTGTAAATATAAAGAGGTTAGCAAGGTAACAGTATCCCAAAACTATCCTTGCTGACTCTTGTGTGAGACATGCTGTACTGTATTCTCAAATTTCTCTGCCTCTGTCTGCTTTCCCACAGCAGTGACCACATTCTCCCCGCCAAAGAACAAGCGCCAGAAGAAATATCGCAGCATCATCTCAGACGTGTTCGACGGGACCATTGTCAGCTCAGTACAGTGCCTCACCTGTGATCGGGTTAGTGCTTTTGGTTGTCTTTTTGTTAGATCCGATTGAAATGGTAATGAAAATGCTGAGATGTTGAGCCACAACAGAGGAGTAGGTTGAAAAAATGCCATTCTGATGATGGGAGGAAAGATGATCTGTGATCACAGTGACATTTTTGCCTTAAGGATAATTCTGCAAAGTGACAGCTCCCGACAAATCCTTATAAAAAAAAACACAAACAAATGAAAAAGCAAAAAAACCCAAAACATTACACTTCTACCTTCTGTGGCCGTCAGGTGTCTGTGACCCTGGAGAACTTCCAGGATATCTCGTTGCCCATTCCAGGGAAGGAAGACCTGGCCAAGCTCCACTCATCCACCCACCAAACCTCCCTGGTGAAAGCTGGCTCCTGTGGGGAAGCTTATGCACCACAGGGGTGGATAGCATTTGTCATGGAGTACATCAAGAGGTGTGTCTATAACCCATATGCTGTATTTTTTATTTATTTATTTTTACATCAGGCACCACTCAGTAGCTGCTTTCTGTTTTTGTCTAAAATTCACCTCCTTCTGTGTTTGTTTCTCCTGTTAGTTGGTTCTGGGGTCCAGTGGTTACACTACAAGACTGCCTTGCAGCTTTCTTTGCCAGAGATGAGCTAAAGGGTAAGCGGGTGGGTGGATAAATATGTTGTGCCAGTACAAACATCAAGAATGATGTCTCAATAATTGTTTGTTCTGTGTTTTTAATTTTTTCCCTTAGGAGATAACATGTACAGTTGTGAAAAATGCAAGAAGTGAGTAATTTATTGCACATTAACTAAAATGAGATCTAAATGGACTGCACCTGCAATGACTGCTCCTCTCATTGATCTTTTTTTCCCTCCCCCCTCATAGATTACGAAATGGAGTCAAATTTTGTAAAATGCAAAGTCTGCCAGAGGTAAACTGACATTTCTAGATATTTATATGATGAAGAAATCCAAATATTTATCCAATAGGTCTTCAAATGCCAAGCTTCTGAAATGAGAAATGTTTTCATTCTCCTGCTTCAGATCCTGTGTATTCACTTGAAGCGCTTCAGACACGAACTGATGTTCTCCACCAAGATAAGCACCCATGTGTCATTCCCCCTCGAAGGCCTGGACTTGCAGCCTTTCTTGGCCAAAGACAGCTCCGCCCAGACCACCAGCTACGACCTGCTGTCAGTCATCTGTCATCATGGCACTGCCAGCAGTGAGTGGGCGCAGTCACTCCCTTTTCTGCATGAGACCAGGGCAGCTGCCACCATTTGGCACATACGAGTGTCCTGCATTCATTCCCCTGGAAATAAAATTCACACTTACTTGATAGATTTGTGAATGCTGCTCTAACACATCCCCCTGTCTTCTCCCAGATGGCCACTACATAGCCTATTGCAGGAATGATGTGAACAATCTGTGGTATGAATTTGACGACCAAAGTGTGACTGAGGTGTCTGAAGCCTGTGTCCAGAATGCTGAAGCTTACGTGCTCTTTTATAAGTAAGCCTAGCACACTGTACTTCTATAACTCCTACCTGAACGAATGTAAAAACAAGCTCTCGTTTATCTCTGTAGCATTTTAAAATTCACTACGCTGCTCAGCTATTAAAAATTGGATCGTACTTTTGCTTATTCATCTAAAATACTGATTAATATTTGATCTGTTTCTGTCCCAGAAAGAGCAATGAGGATGCAGTGAAAGAACGTAGGAGGGTGTCGGGCTTATTCAACATGATGGAGCCCAGCCTTCTGCAGTTCTACGTCTCCCGCCAGTGGCTTAACAAGTTCAAGACATTTGCCGAGCCAGGGCCCATTTCCAATGATGACTTCCTGTGTTTGCATGGAGGTGCGTATGAAAATGTCAGTTTTCCTGCTGAAGCCACTCGGAGGTCAGATTGTCCTTTTCCTCGCCCTGTGTCTAAATGCTTTGTGCAAAACGTTTTGCTTTGACTTTGACACAGCTTTGGCTTTTGTTCTCGCTCTGGATTTCTGATTATGACAAAGGCATTTCCAACTTCAGAAGAGGGGGAGGGGTTTCTTCTCTCTGTGAAGATGATCCTTCATTCTGTTTTTAGCAGAGAAAGGAGAAAAAAGTCCTAAAAGGGTTCATGCGAATGGAAGTGACGCAACTGAAAAAAAAATTGTGCAGAACAGAGAATGTGTTTACACACTGTAAATAAGCACTTACAGCTTTCTCCCTCCTGCTTGGTAGTCACCAGCACCTAAGCACATAATAACTGGCTAGTCAGGTACATAAGCAGAGATAATATCAGTGCAGTGAAACCATGATTGCTTTGTGGCAGTGCAGCCAGTTGTTTTATTTTGTGTGCAAAGCCAAAAACATCACAGCTTATTTTCACTTTCCTGTTCAAGTGTGCCATGAAAAACACACTAAGCCTCCATCAAGAAGCTCTGGCTGCATGTTTTCCCAGGAGGACTTTTTGAAATAAACAGCTGTAAAATGGTGCTGGTGCAGACATAAAAAAACACTAATTTTTCTTTGAATTGTTCATTTTAGTCAAAGTATCTTAGATTAAAGAAGCGAATTTAAAGACTTTAATTACCTGGTACACTGAGGAATTAAGATCATTTTAGATTTATTTAGGGTTCACACGTCACTTTTCATTATTTGGTTCATTATCTTATCTCGGCTTTCACGTTGCATCAAAATTTCAGTGCTTTTTTGCACGTTCACTTTTTTCCCCCCCACATTCTTCAGTATCTGCAGGGTCCTACTGCAAGCCTTGTTGTTTGCCTTTTAATATTAGAGGTTCTTAATTAAATTTTGCCTATTATAAATCAATAAGACAAGGCCCAATGAAATATTCAAGAGGGTTGGGGGAGCAGCAGTGTAGATTTTCAGTCTAGGGGAAACTGCTGCTCATATCTTTCTCACATGTCAAGATGAACTTAAGCTGACAAATGAATTCAAAGAGCTTTTTTGCAGCGATATGGAAGGGTTGTTATTTCTTCCTACTCTCATTTCCTTCTTGATCTTGCTGTTTTAAAAAGACTTGCTAAAAGTCAGCAAACATTTAATTAACCCAGGTCAGCTTTGCTGTATAAATTATTTGTGTAACCTAGCTTAAAGGAGAAGGAAATGAGACCCTATAACCTGTAAGTGTAATAAATAATAAATCTTACAGGCTTATTCAACCTATTTGGTGTTTAATAGTTGGATCAAAAGAGAGAGGTGATTTAAGAATCTGGAAATTTAGGAATGAATTGCCACCGTATCCTGAATTTTAGACTCTTAAGCTCAAAAACTCTTTTAGTCCCTAATTAATACAGTAAATCAAAGTTCCATCTGGAGCTATAATTGACATTAAACAGTGGGTTTTCACAGGCTGTAATAAATACATCTGAAGTGTTTTTCAAGAAAAAGCCAAAAAATTGGAGCAAAATAAACAATTTTCTGTGGAGATCTAAAACATAATCTTTTTCATAGTCTCGCACCCTGCGGGGAGTTTAGACATGCAGTTTGGGAAGAAGTTTTAATAACAGGCTCTGGGGGTGTGAAAAAAGGAGAAATTGAAGAATATTTAATGATAGTGGTAGCAGAGTTTGAGCAGTGAATTTGACAGAATTGTGCATAGTTGAGCTTCTTGCCCTGTTTAAGCTCACCACTGATCTGTAACCATGCGAGCTGTTGCATTTCATGTAAAATAAAATGTTACACTGCAAGCGTCTGACTGCTGTTTCACTGCGTTTCATCAGGTGTGCCGCCCAACAAAGCGACATTCATCGATGACCTGGTAGTGATGCTGCCACAGAACGTGTGGGATCACCTTTACAGCAGGTACACGAAGTCGACACGGCCGCTTTCAGACTGGCTGGAGGCTTTAAGCATCTTCAGATCCAGCGATTCCTTTGGCTGAAGTAACGTGTGAGCTTGTATGTACTGTTTCCCGCAGGTACGGAGGGGGACCGGCTGTCAACCACCTGTATGTCTGCCACACGTGCCAGACTGAGATAGAAAAGCTGGAGAAAAGGCGTAAGCAAGAGCTGGACATGTTTGTCAGGGTAAGCACCCACTCACTCCTCACCTCACCTGAAAAACCGTCCAAGCAGCGGCTTTATTTAGATAGTTTCAAAACTGGTTTGTGTATGTGTGTGTTTTAATGCACGGTGTGTCAGTGCAGCCAGGACTCATAGGTGTGTATAGGCCCCTTTTCTTCAGTCTATTTAACCAGTTGATAGGCTGCATGTGTTGATGCTGTTCACCCCAGCAGGAGATGAGAGGTGCAAGCCAGATGAAAGCCTTATCATTAATGCATTGGGACAGATGCAGCTGTTATTGCCTGCTCAATGTGCCCACTCACACAATAGCTGCTCAGAATAGAGATAAGTGTGTGTGTGTGTGTGTGTGTGTGTGTGTGTGTGTGTGTGTGTGTGTGTGTGTGTGTGTGTGTGTGTTTATAAGACAGAGCTAAAAAGGAAGAACAAGTAATGTGTCATGTTTTTTCTTTTTCCAAGAGAGATGAAACTGGTGCAGTGTGGTTTTAAGACTGTCTTCTAATTGGAGTAACTAGCAGAGAGAATTGATTTGGTTTTCCATTTCCTCTCAATCCTTTCATCCTTACTTTTTTCCTTTTTTTGTCCCCTATCCCATCCCACTTACCCCTCCTCTTTCCCCTCCCCACCCCTTTGCGTCCTCCCTCTTGTCTCTACCTCTCACTCCACCCCCACTTCCTCTCTCCCTCTCTCTGGCTCCTTCTGCTCCCTCTGTAGCTGAACAAGGCGTTCCAGGAGGAGGAGTCTCCAGTGGTCATATACTGCATCAGCATGCAGTGGTTTCGTGAGTGGGAGGGCTTTGTCAAAGGAAAAGACAATGGTAATTGGACAGTGGTCTTGCCTTTCCATTCCCCCACCCCACTCTACCCCCTAGTCCTGTTTAAATGTCTGATTAAAAAGGTTAAATGTTTTCCATGCGATTTATTATGGAGAGACAGAGTTTCTGGAACAAACTGCCAGTCTATACGTTTTCATCGACATATGGGGGGGAAAAAAGGCAAATAGATTTTTTTTTCTTTTTTTTTCCCTATAGAAAATCCAAATTCTCAGGTTTTTACAAACAGCTCATTTTCAAAAGAAACTGTGGAGTCCCCGTTCCTTCTTTTGATTTTTTCTTCAAAGAATTCGCTTTAGTCCCCCGAGTCGGGTTTCTATCCTGCTCCAGCAAAATGAAGCGTCAAAATGCATTTCATTGGTGTTCCACTTGTCCTCATATTTTTTTTCTTTTTGCTTCCCCTACTTTGTATTGTCACATCTATTTATAACAGCTTGCATCTGGCACGCCTGCAAATGTCCTTTTTTTTTTCTTTCTCTTGACTTCTGCTCCTCTAATATTTGTCTTCTCTCTGTAGCAAATGGGGAGCAGATATTGCTTTTTTGTAGTGTGACAAAAGCATTTGACATTTTAACATCATTGCTCTTTGATACAGTTAGGATATGAGAATATAACTCGGTTACTGATGTATGTAATTTCACAACTAATTTTCTTTTCTTCGTCTTTTTCCAGACCCACCGGGACCTATCGACAATTCAAAGATAACAGTAAACAAGAACGGCCATTTAACACTCAAACAAGGTACAAGCAACGTTTTTAAGTTGTAATTCTGTTTCTTCTGCTTTAGTAGGAAATGTATGTCTGAATATTTTATTATGGGTTTTTAAAAAGCATCAAACAAGTCTTGCAGAGATGCTGTGGACTGTAGAGCTGTTTTTCCTGTTGCTGACGTTTACGATGTATACGTTTGTGATTGCACCGACCCTACAGGAGCAGATTCAGGACAGATCTCTGAGGAAACGTGGAACTTCCTCCACTCCATCTACGGCGGTGGTCCGCTGCTGACAGTTCGACCGAACATCAGCCACCAGGAAGTAGAGTCGTCGCAATCAGAGGAGAAGATCGAGGTGGAGACTCGCTCCGTTTAATCGAGCACTTGACAATACACCACAACAACATCGAAAACGTTTAAGAAACGGAAAGCCTTTTATTTTGCACTTGACTTTTTTGTTTCAAAAGCATCCAAGCAAGGGACCTCATCTTTACTCCTGCGTGACAGCCTTTGACAGAGGGAATTAACTGAAAAGGGTCGTCATGTTGTACAAATCTGTATAAAAAGCTCTTAAATTTCTATTAGCACTGTAGTACTCATGTTTCAGGTTTTCAGAACCAAGCATTTAAAATATGTGCAGCTAAAAGAAATTCCACTGAATGCCATATTGTTTTGTTTTTTTTCTTCTTTGACCAAATGAGCACATGTTCTATGTCCATGTGTCTTGTGTTGCCGATACTGATGAATCACAATACATCTTGCTGTAGATATACCACATATTTTTTATTTCCTGTTGTATTATTCACTAAATGACAAGGAAAGCAAAATGTGACACTGGGGCTATGAAGGGACTAATTGCTGACTAGTCTCAGGAATGAATTTTGTGTTTTGCACTGTTCTGTAGAAGTACAAATTGGCATGCTCACACAGATGTCTGGTTTGTATTTGAATGTACCAGTACTAATAGTATGTTGGTCAAGACTCAGCACTTGGTTATTTATAACAGAAGGGAGTGATTTAACATGATGTCAATAGATTATTATTATCTTTTTTTTTTTTCTTTTTTTTTTTGTGGAAACGTGGCAGGCAGACTTTTTAAGAATGCATGCTCCGAACATTAAAATCCTAGTGGAACATCACATGTAAGTGCATGTAAATGCAAAGCTGCTCATGATATGTGCACGCAAATCCAGATCTGTCTTCACTAAAACTGTACAGCTGCAGAAAGCACATTGTAGTAATGTAATCAGCAACATAATGAGCAATCTGATTAATTAAAGGCATTATTTTTGTGTATGGGCATAGTGTTGCTTAAATGTGTTGGCTGATTAGGGAGTCAACAAAATGCTGTACTCTAAGTTTTTGCATATGAGTAAGATCTATTCTGATTTTTGCTGGCTGACACTATTAAAACTTGATGAAAACATGTTGAATGCTGTGCCCACTCTTTAATTGTGTCACTCTTAAACTGCATGTTGTTTCTCCTTAAAGTGTCAATAAGCCATAAATTAGGAAATGTTGCAGAGTGAGAGGCACTCTAAAAATGTACAGGATAGTGTTGCATTTTGACGAGAGAGCGCTTGCTGCTCACACACCCCGACTAGTTGACTGGATTGAAAACATGGCTGCGGCCGAGCGTGCAGCAAATTTACGGAAGTGAGGTATGTGTAATTCTTAAGCTACAAAAGCTGTTTAGAAGTGTGCCTCCAGTTCGTTGCTTGTGGTGGAGCAAACGACAGAACCTGAATTTATTAGCCCACTCAAAATGTGTGTGACCGCCATTGCTAGCAGTACACAAATACATCGGCAAAGTTATGCGCGGAACAATCAGCTAGCTCGGCGAGCTAATGCCAGGTTGCTGCGGCTAGCCTCGGCTGCTAGCTGGTTACCAAGTGCTTGGTTGCTAATCATGCTACTTCTCAGTGCTGGACATATAAACCTCGGCGAAAACGTGTTAGCGGCGATTTCTTCCATCTACGTGCTGTCTTATTTGTGGCTTTAACGCCCCTGTCTGATGTCGCGCTAGCTAGCATGTGCTAGGTGTCAGTAATAGAGGGGCTTCATCAGGAATCGCCACGATTCTTCTCTTAACGGGAGAACTAGCACAGGTAACGTTAGCCAACTTGGCTAACTAGTCGAGCACAACAGAAAGAGGGGAAAATGTTCCGTTAGACTGCAGCACACTTGTCCGTTGAGTGTCACAGGGAGCGTGTATAATTTATAATTTAATTCTGCTGGTGCCACAGTCTGCGGCTTGGTGTCTCAAGTGTTAAAATATATATATATATATATATATTTTTTAATTAACCCCCGAGAGCTAACGGTAAGTTAGTTTTGTATGGTTAGCCCGCTAAACGGCATGCTAGGTCAACTGAGGTCTGCTTGGAAGTTGGAGCATGCTAACGTTTAGCTCATTCGCAATCTCCCTGTGAAATAACTGGGTTGTTTCTGTCCAGACGTGTGGTCGTGAGTTTTAATCGTGAACTTTTTTTTGCTGCAAAAACTAGTCTTCAACTCAGCCGGCTGGCACGTGCTGCTGCTGTTGCTGCGCCCCCGTCCAGTCTCGTCGTCAGTTTAAACAGCATCCTCGTGCCTCCCAACTTCGTGGGCTTGGAGCTCGCGGCAGTTGATTTAGCTGAGATGTAGGGATTTGAGCGATTCTCATCGGAATGTGCACCAGCACCACTTCGCGGATGTTTGGTTGCCAGTAGGCCCAGTGGAAGTGCTGAACTTCAGGTCGGCAGCGGAGACGATGAGCCCAGCATGACGGTAAAATGGCACAGAGCTCGTTTATTTATCGGAAAACACATGCATCATGCCAAACTCTGTTACCCACTTTTAGATTAGCTGGTTTGCTAACAGTTGACTTTGCTTGTGAGTTGCGTGTTTATTATTAGTGCACAGTTTTGGGAGTTTACAGGCTTGCTATCTTAGTGAAAGCAGTGCTTCTTTATGTGATGGCAAATGAGACATCTGTCAAGACAGTGCAGGCAAAAACACCACGTGTTAACATAACTCTACAACCAAACAAGCGCTTTAGAGAGGGGCAGGAAGTGGGTTGATTTGAGTACAGTAACACATGGGTCCTCTAATTACATACAATGTCTTTCACACTCAAAATCTTTGCTTATGCTCTGGATATCTGTGAGTACAAATTGATCTCGGCGTGTCAAGATCGGTGACTGTACATTGCAATATAGTGTTAGTACTGTAAATAACACTGTCACACCTTACTGTGGTAAATTGGCAGCTGTGGGTTTAATGGCTGGTGTGTTTCTAGAAAGATCAAGAGATTAATACATCTTATTTCATGGAGAAGAATACATCACAGTCAAATGTTTATATAGGAAGCAAACATGAATCCCAAGCATGTATCCTTGAGTCTACTCTCTCATATACTAGAGAGAGAAAATGCAAATGAACCAAAACAGTGTCTTCTTGTGACTCTTAGTCTGATATAATGGCTGTAATGCTGGCATGACTTATGAGCAGTTTAGTCACAGAGTGGTTTATCACCAAAAAAAATATTTTTTTTTTTCAGGTGGGTAAAAAAAGGTGGGTATAAAAGCTCGAAGCATCCTATAAAAGAGTTTGCTTTCCTAGACAATCAGGCTAAGAAGTCAGATAAAATCGGTTATTAAGTTGATCAGTCGACTCGAGGTTTCCCAGTCTAGCCATGTGTGTATTCACATGAAAGATACGGCGGCGGCAGCAGCGTCTGACCAGCTGCAAACACGGACTGGTCTGCTGTCAGCACAGCCACTGATTTTTATATTAATAAAGTCTAGCCTAATTGAAGCATGGAAGGAAAGTTGGAAAAATGGTAACCATGTAAGTTAATAGACACATCAGCATTGTGGCTATGTCATTAACACGTGAGGTTCTGACAGATTACTGCATATTCCATTAAATTCTTATTTTAGACATGCAGGAAAGGAACGTTAAGGAAAGCAGGAAAGTTATAGCCTTATTTTTACAGCTGCAGTCTCTGTGGTGTTTAATTGTTTAAGAGCAAGTACAAAATAAATAACATAAATTCAAAGTAGGCTCATCCTTCTCAGATTGTTTTTAAGGTTAATAAGTACAAGTTGGTGTTCTATATCAGGATTATATAATTAAGACTTATAGAACAATAGAATCATTTAACAGTTGTCGCAATGAGGAAAAAAGCATGACTAAAGTTGATTCTGGTAACTTATATTTCTTATTGATTCTTATCAGGGCTCTTGAAAAACTTAAGACCCTCAGACTATCTTTACCCTGCGGTCTCAGGTTTCTTCCATGAGTGGTGATCCTATTTTCTGTAGGATTTATTTGTCAGTATGTGGCGATTTTACACACGCTCATTTGTAATCTCCATCAAAATCTGCTTCCAAGCAGGTTTGGTTTGCAGCAAAAGTTAACACAGTGATGTACCCTGGGGAACGACAGACATTTTACGCTTTAATATTTTTATATATGGCTGAGTAGCTTAATTTATAAAATATTGCAGAATCTATAGATTTCTGTTTTGGGAAGGTGCTAACAAAACCTCTAAAACAAATGTTAGGAGGTATAGGCTCCACCACAGAAGCAAACAAAGTCCATTTGCTTCTTGGGGTGTGTGTAGAAGCTGCAGCTCCACCATAATTTACACCTGTGTTATAATGACTGTTTTCGTCAACCTTTTTACTGAAAAAAGAAGCACTTTTTGGAATGAACCTTATATAATTTTAACCTTGAAATGCATTTTAGCTTGTGCACAATTCTATTTTTAGTTGCAAGTGTGTGAAGGTTCAGCTTCACGACTGCTTCACAGTCGTAGCCACCTTCAGTGTTTTCCTGTGGCACTAACAAGCTCTGTATTCTTTTAATAGCTTCATATGCTTCCTTTAATATTACACTTTTATATCAGTGACTCCCAATTAGAGCAGGGCAATATGACCAAAAATATTTATCACGATATACATTTGAAAATTTGCGATAACGATATAACCGACGATATAATTGACACGAGACAAAATACTTTACAACGCCGCAATTTTATTAGTGCAAAAAAAAATCCATCAATGTATTTTCACTTAAACAAGCAGCGGTTTTTTATGTGCATTAAAGTTATATAAAAATGTAACAGTGCAAATGCAAATTCCTTGCTGACAGTTTAACCAAAAGGCATTTTCAGTGGAAACTGGCCGACATATCCTCAGCATAACCATGTATAACATCCACAAAACTTAAGGAGGTTATACACACACAATACGGTAATATTATGTTGATGCACAGTACATATCACTCTGCGAGGCTCCTGCCTACGATAGCCGTAATGCTCCGACAATCCATCAAGCAGTGCGGCTTCACAGCTTGCTTCACAAAGTCGTACTA